GGACACCCGAAGGACGTCACAAAAGGGGCAGACCCAAAGTGACCCGGAGACGCACAGTAGAGTCTGAAATGAAGTCCTGGAATCAGCATGGCCCAAAACAGACAGAGCTGGAGATCCTTTGTTGCTGCCCTAAACGCCAGATGGCGTAATGGGTAATAAGTAAGTACACAAACGTGTCTCATAAATAACATTTATCAGATTACTCTTTGACAAACCACTATCGAGACCAATATTCATCAGATGTTTATTCTTTGACAAAGCACGACAGTCCATCAGTGGCTCGACAAGGCAGCCGTGTTGTGTTCGGTGGCATCTTTGCAAAATCTCAATAAGCAGACAATGTCTATGGCTTCACCGGACTGAACATTGTTTTTCTAAGGGCTCTATTGTTGTATATTGCAACAAAAAAGAACAGCATGAAATTATGGCTTGCTGTTGCTGTTTTGCTGCTTATTGCATTCTATTGTTTTTGCTGCCGCTAATGCTGGGGTGTTTTTTTGCTGTTGCTGACGCTGTTGTTTTGTTTTACTGATTTTAGAGCCCTTTTTCTTGTTGTTGTTAAAGCCCGGAGTCCTACTGAAGACACACTGCAACTCATTTTAAAGTTAGAGCTTTTGGGCGTCCCATCAGGAAAACGGATCAGAGGAAATGGTCCTCGAAAAACGATAAAAATCGTTCAGGTAAAACTCGAATCAGAATCTCTTCAGTTTTAAATCTGGTAAAAGTTTCACAGCACTTCCAACACAATAATGTCACATAAGTTCCCAAAGATTAGGGGTGTTACAAGAGAGTAACAAACACAAAAAAGAAGGAGAGAAAAGGAGGATAGAAATCATACCACACTAGAGCATCCGGCAACCACGCACCACAATCCCTACCTTTTATCTGGCAAAACAAACTCGTAACTCACTGCAACGTACCCTATGACTACGACGAGCGAGGAAACCATTGATTTACGGCAGCTGTAAAATCAATTTTGTTGCACGTGGAATGTGTTAATGAGCATGCCATCGTTTCCACACCCAATTATAGGCATAAAGAGGTCCAATCTAAACGATGCTCCAATTTGGTTCCGCGTATTTATGAGGTAAGAATAACCCGCTAAAACTGGCACGCAGATGAAATAACCGTTGTTTATCAGATTTTCATTACTATAATAAGCCTTCATGGTTCTAAAAGTGGCGATCGCGTATCTTACAGTATGAAACCGTGGCCCACCACAAATTATTTGATTTTATGAACAAGAGAACTGATTTCTTCAAATAATGAGAATTCTCGAATGAACCTCTCCTGGAGCTATTCTGGATGCTGTCCTTTTTATTTTCTAAAATAATTGATTTGTTTTCTTGGACTGTTTTGTCTGGCACACTTCATCTTTAAGAGGCGTTGCACATTTTGATATTATTCATCCCTCCCTTTAACCCCAAACAACATACTATAACATGAACAAATCTTTTTTGTTTTACGCATTTTAAGGGCGATCGCAACTAGATAAGGTCATACGAGGGCGTGGGGCATACCAAGCATTTTAAGTTGGTAGGAAATTTTGAATTTTGCCAGGGTGGAGGCCTGGGTCTACTCTTTAAAAGTTTTTACCGCAAGTGGATCTTTAACGTGCGCAACTTGCATACAAGACCTCCGAAAATTTTCGCCCTTGTCCAAGAAGGCTAGGTGTAGATCTTTCCTACCACAAGATCAGTGATGTAGTGGATAGACAACAGTAAGAAGGAGCCAAAAAATAGCTGTAGAAAGGCTGCAGAAAGATTCAGAAGCCCAGTGGAGAGGGCAAAGGAGGTGAGAGGGTGGGGGCAGAAAATGGAGACGAAAGCAGACGACAGAACATTGCTAGAGAACAGGAAAGGAGGTGAAAGGAGACAATTATAGAGAAAAAAATGTTTCGGTGGCTACCCGAATTCGAATCCGGGACCTTTGAATGAGAAGCGAACACCTAAACCTCTAGGCCACGGGAGCCCCCAATACATCTTTGATCATCAAGGTTGAAACACTCTTTCGAGAAAATGTGACATTATGGATCATGTATGTTGATCAGCGTTGTTAGACAGCAAAGCCAACATTATTGCCATTATAACTCTCACGAAAACGTTTTAAAGGAGGAAAACAAGGTTTTGTTCTGTCACTTAAGCCACGCATACACCTGAGAATTGAGATACCTCTTTGTTTCCTCTATGAACAGTCAACAGACGTCCCTACCTTTTCCATGAGCTTGATCAAGATAAATCTAATACTTTGCAAGTTGAAGTGCTCACGAGGGGTGTATAGTTGGGAAATATTATTATACTAGCCTAAGAAAGAAAGATGAATAATTATGACAACGGTCCATCGAAAAGGGTCGTAAGATTGGAGAGAGCGAAAGAGAAAGAGAGAAAGAGAGAGAGAGAGAGAGAGAGAGAGAGAGAGAGAGAGAGAGAGAGAGAGA